AGGTAACCCCATCGGTCGTGTAGAGAATAATACGTGTAGTTCGCCAGTATTAAAAGTACTTTGAACTGATTTTCTTAATTTCTTCGTAATTATCTCACTTGGTATATCGCCCTTGAATAGCAGTCGTACATAAAGTGGCTTCTTGTTTAAAGATAGTGAGTAGTCTTTTTCCGCTTTCTTTGTCATGTGTTTCTTCATAAATTTGTGAGGATAGCCATTTCAGATGAAAGTATCATATACAATGCTTAATTCATCTTCGATTACTGCTTCTGAGCACATAGCTCTAGCTCTGTGGCTGAGTGTCTTCACAAACATTTCTTCTGTACTTGATAGAAACGAAGCTGTGAAAACGTCTATATTGATTGTCCTGTCCTAGTACTTTTTCTATGCAACTTTTTATGCTACCATCTGGTTTCCTTGTAAAGAGGACATCCAGGAAGGCAATTTTGTTTTAGGATTCCTCTTCGCATGTGAATTTCATATCAGAACCATTATCACAAAGAATGAAAGTATCATCCACATATCGGCAATGAAATGACATCTTACTGATACGGTTGTTGAAAGTTCCATTTTCTAGCTTACTTAGAAAGATGAGATGAGTCAAACTGGCTACACTACTGATGGGCTCTATGTCAAACAAGTGAAACAGCCTTCGGGTGTTTTAGATCAAGTCTATTTGGTTGGTTAGTATTTGATTGGCTAGTATGCGGTATGCCTCTACTCATGTCACATGAATCACTTGCGTAAAGTGACACGCATTTCTGCTCGTTTTGAGTGATTAGCATTTATGGTATCAAGCAGGCGGCATCAAATTTGGTCTAAATAATTTAGCAAATTTGGGATTCACTTGAAAAATGTATATAACAAATATGATTGGTTGATGCACTAGTGGATTAATTTCTCAGAATGTGAAGTCATCAGTAAATAAAAACCAGTTCAAGCTAGTCTTATTTCAACAGCGCATGGAAATTCCCATTTATACACCAGAGAAAAACCGCTGTAGGGATAGAAAGGTGAGCATATATTCTCTTATCCGTACACATCCTGAAAAGCCCTGATATATTCAAAGTTCCACACTCTCTTCCTAGTACTATTCGTCAACATCTAGTCGAATTAGGACACAAAGTATCCAAACTGTTTCTATCATTTGTAAAAAATTATATTTGTAAAATCTCAGCGATATTGAAATGAGTAATTCCAACGTTTCGTTCGGCAATCTAGTCCGAACTTCTTCAGGGAAATTAATCGAAATTAACATAACAGGTTTATATATAAAAGGAACATCTTTAGTTTTTAAAAAAACTTTGTCCAATCATGATTTATAAAACAAATATTAACAAGTATAATAAACAAAATTGTACGAGTTGTGATCAAAATTTGACCTCAGACTTACAAATATTGATCTACCTTTGTTAAACACTTTAAACACAGTGTGTATGTGGGCGGATAAACAGTTGTAAAACAATGTCTTAACGTCTCCATAAGTAGATATAGACAGTCGGGAAACTTTGACCAAGTATTATTAGTTAGTGATACATATCCATTCTTATTTATTAATTAATCAGGATTTCCTATGCGTCATCTAACATCACACCTTCATGTCTGTTCAAACTGTTAGTATCTAGAATTTCATGATTAGACGTATTTTCGAAATTATGGTGTTTAGGATTAGAGTTTAGTTGAACAACCCCGTCAAACTTATTACTTTGTCTTCTTTCTGAAAATTGAGCTGCTTTATTCGACCTACTGAAGTTGTCAGGTGACTGGACAGCTACGAATTTAGGATACGCATTCTGCTGCAGACAACGGAGAGTGGAAACACGATGATTGTGCCAGCTACCTAGTTTCTTTGTTAATTTAATTCGATTACAAAATAAATCAAATGAACTGTAGTCAAGATTTGACAGAATAGTTCTATAATATTTGGGCACCGAGTGAGAAGTAGACATTTGTAAAAAATTATATTTGTAAAATCTCAGCGATATTGAAATGAGTAATTCCAACGTTTCGTTCGGCAATCTGGTCCGAACTTCTTCAGGGAAATTAATCGAAATTAACATAACAGGTTTATATATAAAAGGAACATCTTTAGTTTTTTAAAAACAAATGTCTACTTCTCACTCGGCGCCCAAATATTATAGAACTATTCTGTCAAATCTTGACTACAGTTCATTTGATTTGTTTCTATCATTATTAACAAACATTGGGCATCATGTAACTCAGACCAAACTTTTGTGTTTAGATGGCAAAAGTGACTGATCTCAACTTACAGTGGAAACGTACTTCTTTACTCATCACATAGTGATGGATTCTGTTATTCGATGTTCTTCCATTATTATTATTATTATCGTTGTTCTGTATTGTATTTCTGACTCACTGATCTTAACTCACATAAATGATTTCTAATTAGTTGGAGGATTTCGTCATGAGCTGATATCACTTAAAGAAAACCGCTGGAAAATCAACTGCATTACCCGACAGCTGTTTCCTACGTCCTAGTATGGGACTCTTAGACAGTACGCACCCACCATCAAGGCTCAAATCCAGGATTTTCTGGTTATAAGGCGAGCGAGCTGGTAGACCAATAAACCCGTATGATGCGATCTAATGGCCAGTCCATGAATTCAAACTTCTGCCAATTCATGACATGGTGCAACCACTTCGCCTTCAAACTGCTGCGCCCTAGTGGTCATGGCTTCTCACTACAACTTTAGGTCAATTACCTGGCTATAGACGTTGTTTGAAAGATGTTTTGATGTGTTATCATATGGTGTTTATATCAGGAAAATGAGCTGTTAATGCTTGCCAGAATTACTGAATTGTCATCTAACAAGTAACGACTTTAGGATTTCATCATGAATTGACATTGACTACAGGAGTTTTGGAAAACCTGGAAGTATTGAACAGCTGTTCCAGTGGCTTATTAGCTTACGAGCTCCATTTGTAACTAGAAAGTCCTAGGTTCGAACCTAAGTGGTTGCGAACTTTCCTGAGGAGTCCTAAGCTGGGACAAAACAGCAGTCCTGAAACCAAACAAAGCCCTGGAAACCAACACTTGGAGTAGCCATTTAATTACAAAATCTTAGACTAAGTGAATTAGATTTAAAATCCCCATTGAGTCATTGAACGTCACTGAATCCCTATTGAACGTCTTCTCTTTTTCATATGACTAAGTGAACTTAAGTTAACTTAACAAGCTATGGGAAAAAACAGAACCGGTGATATGAAATTAACTGAAAGAGCGTTTTAATAGGCATAATTATTACTGTTATTGAGTCAAAGGTAATCCTGAACGGCAACCAAAACATTGAATCAGACATTATACTACATTTTAAGATCTTCAAGTGATGAAACGACGTAGTCCTAGTTGCTGTTGGTGGCCTCAAGACGTGTAGAACCTTGGTCCGATTCCCAGTGGGATAATAGGTATGCAGTGTTAAGGAGTCCAAAACTATGGGAAAAAGTGCTGCTCAGAAACTGTCGGCCTGATTTCAATCGATAATTAGACTGGAAGTCAGGCTAATCTCTACAGCGTAACACTTGAAAAGTGATGCTGCGTGTTTTAAATGTTATGCAGACAATTAATATACGTGTAAAACTTAGTCAATGTGGTAGTAAGTAATTCCATATTAGTTTGTTTATTAGATGTATCACATAGTCAGTGAAACAGTATTAGTATTTAATGGATGACGTCGCGAACAAAATGTATTGTTCATAATCATATCAATTATAATCACACGACCTTGATACTTGAGTTTTATAGTTTCTTTTGTCCTCTCCTATTTGTCATAGGGGTAGTATACACTTCCAGATCTCCGACTAGACAGGTATTGAATCATTGCTATTACATGTATTTGCAGTTGATTCGATAAACAAAGTTTCTGTTATCAATCTCTCCCCACACTCTGTTGTTACATTATACTTTACAACTGTCATCTTATCCTATCCTATTGTGTGGTTGTGTGTAACTGCATGTAGTGATTGGTATAGCTGAACTATTCTCTAGATTTCTTATCTTATTCGGACCAAACAATCTAGATTTTGCTAAGTTTTGTATGTTCAGCTAGTCTGACTGCTCCTGTTCTACTAGTTTGACCTATGTATTTGACCTGACAATCATTCCAGCAGGCAGGGTAATAGATAAACTAAATTGTTTTTGTTTCAAAGGCTCCAGAGGATTGATCCGACAAAGCTTGTTTCTAATTGAGTTTGTGGTTGGTTTGAATGCAAGGCACTTTTATTCCTGACTTGTTAAGAATTCTGCGTAATATGGTTTTCGAGATTTCTTCCTTGTATGGAATTACTACTGATGACTTAGATTCCTTATTGTTGGTGTCGTCATTAATATTATCATAATTATTATCACTATTATTATTATTACTATCATTATTATTGTTATCAACATTTTTATTATCATTATCCCTACTGTCATTATTTGATTTTTACATTTCCTTACATATTTCCTGACTAATTTATCAGGGTATTTATTACGTTTCAAGGCATCTTATATGTGCATCACTTCCTGTCATAGATTTTCCTTGGTACTACTTAGTTTTTGTGCTCTGTTACCTAAACATTTAACCAGTCCTGTTTTTTACTGACATAGGATCGGATGATCGGAAGTTCAATTATCTCTTTGAATGTGTGGGTTTCCTGTAAACACTAGTGTGTTTAACTTTCCATCTTCTTTCCCTTTTTACGTTGCAATCTAACATTGGAAGCTCCCCATCATAACTTTCTAATTCATAAGTGAATTGAATTGCCTCTACCTTCGAGTTAATGTTTTCGAAAATTCTATCTATATCTTGTGTTCTAAGTACAGTGAATATGTCATCTACATACCTCCATCATACTTTTGGGGTGAGGGAGTTAAGCAGACAAAATTAAATTTGCAGGGTCTTACTCTGGCCACTGAGTTTTAGGTCAGTATGATAAATATTGACATTTCGGAGAGTATTCTCCTAAACTTTATACTTTTTCATCTGTTACTTCTGTTTTAGAGGATGTGGTGGTGGCGGTCAGGATATTAATACAATTGGTCTATTACCTGATAAACTGAAAACAGAATTAGCCCTGAATGTAAACTTGGAAACTTTGAAGAAGGTAGGTCTGAATAGCAGTGCATGTGTTTAAAATGCTTGCATGCTTATTTCCTGTCAGAGTGGACTGTGTAAGTGGTCCTGTAGCAGATCACTCGCCGAGGATGCATGTGAATTGGCAGTTTGATTCCCGGTCGATTGACACACTCCTAAACCTCAATAAGCCAGTAGTAAGTCTGACAAAGTTAGGCGATTTGGAATGAAGCTGTGAATTCTATCTTGAAAGAAGGAAACTGCTGGAACTTCAAGCCTTTTGTCCAAAACGGACGGAACGCAAAGTGGTCAAACGAAAACGAACTTCAAAGTTGAAGAGAAGAAGCAGAACCTTTGGACTTAATGAAGAGCTGACATTGGTTAGAGAACCATTGGAAAACCTGAGAGCACTAGACAAGCCACTGGGACCCGAGGTTTTCCGATGGCCCATGAATTCCAACTGCCAATTCCCGATACATCACGACCCCTAATCAATGTCTTCACACTCGTCCTGCTGCACTCAACTGGTCACGACTTCTCACTGGAACCCCAGGTAACTATCTACCTGAATAGGACAAGTCGCTAGTGAGCATCTCATCGATATTCAATTTCTGCTTTGTAAGGATTTGATGCTAGCTCATGATGAAATCATGTAACCGATCAAATCCCTACAAACCAACACTTGAGCGAATTTCTTTTATTTTACCTTTTGTTAGTGGACTAATAGAAAAATGGTTTTCAATAATTTTCCACCTTTGATTGGAGGACACTAGTTAGTAATTAATGTGCAATATATCTAGTCCTTTGTTTGATGCAGACTGAAGTCCATCAGTCAATATTTTGCTATATGTCAACCATCAAGTTAAGTGGTTTGCCGATACGGCACATTTTGAGTTATTGATATTAGATGGTTGGCTGAGGCGGGTACGAATCTCAGAAGAAACATGAGTTCCTTCAAGGCTGCAGATACACATTGCTTACTGGTGAGTGGCAACTAGCACAAAACGCAGGCCCATCTAATATCAACAGTTTTTACCTCGTTTACAAATATGTCTGCATGTGTGTGGTTAAACAACTTCAGCTTAGGATGTTAACACTTTCATTTCACTGGTAATAATAAGAAATTCTGAAAAATAAACATATAATATAATAGAATTTCGAAAAATTACAGAAAAGTGGTCGATTTTCATGAGATTTTCGACTAATTCGTCTTCTAAGAATCGTGGTATTTTATTGCATTTTACAGGCCGTTTTACCGTTTTACAATTGCGGGTCCTGCCGAATGATGCAAAGGTGTATGGAGAGTTGGCCATTCTTTCCATTACATTTAACAGCCAATGGCGACCTCCTTGCCAGTGCCAGAATACCTATTCATGGACATATGCACACTGAATCCAGCGCATCCTGACTCATAGTCCGAGATCCCGTCCTATGAACCACAGCCCACTGCACAAGACACCACTTCAGATTGGCCTCGGGTAACAGTCGCCATACTACGACTTGTGATTGGGGCTACCAGTCCTCCGCAGCCACCCGCTATTCAGTTGTTATTGGCCCTGGTTCTCTCCTCAGGAATCCACAGATCTACTGGTCCCGCCGGTGCCCCGTGCACCGATATAAATCCTTTAGGACGGCACTGCTGCTTCATCAAGACTGAGTAACTGGACACGAATGTTATCTTATGCTGCGACAGGTATTTGCTGAGGCTCAGGTTGCCTTCTTGATAAGCCTCACTCAGCGATCACCACGTGGAAGTGCCTGCTGCATGTAACTAAACCCCTGTACCGCAATTACCCATGCCCGGGTGAGTTTCTGCTCATTGGTACTCAGAGCACTGAGCGGAAAAGAGTAGCCAAATGGAGACTTTAGCAAGAGAAGCTAATATTTGAAAGCATACGATGGTCAAAGGTTTTCACACCTCCCACCGTTTGCAGGGCCTCTTTGCTAAGCCATCCATGGAGGGCATCTAAATGTGACAGTTAGATCACGAGGTATTGTGTTTTACAACCTAACTCATTAAGAAGTTGGCACGCACGACATTCCACAAGAATTGCCCTGTTTTAAGTTCTCCTAGGCAGTATTAGGAAGCGTTAAACTTGACACTACAACCATTAGAATGCCGAAATCAAGTCTATCTTCAAATATATGAATTACATTTCGATTTATCAGATGTTTTTCATTTTAGTTTGCTCGCCAGCCACGCACTTGTTCCAGGGTTTTGCACACTCAGTTGACACATCCAGACATACTTTAGCTGATAGTAAAACCTAGTCTAGAGCAACGTTTTGCTACAAGGCAGCTTAATCCACTTCGTATAAAAAGACATTAAGTACTTTTTTATTCCTGGACGTTTCCAGTGGAACATAGGGCTTCAAGCTAGACGCGTGGTGTTTATTTTTACAGGATGGGGTTGCAAGTCTCATGCCCAACCTTTCTTCTTTACCAGTCTTACTACTGGCTTAGCGAGGTAAAAGAGTGCGTTGTCGGTCGGGGATTGAACCCCGGATCACCTGAGTGGTCGGGCGAACACTCTTCCACTGTGCCACCGACGCCATAAAGCGTTATCCACTAGACCACTTGGGCCACCATTAAGTACTAACGTTACTGAAACGTTTTTCTGCTCAAGCTTGAAGATCTGTGAATTTCTACTCGTAAAACAAAGGGATAACAACAATAAACTTCATTAGAGCATAAATATTTATGAATATTTAAATGTCTACTATTAGGAAGTTAAAAGGCATTACAGTTTTTACGCTAAATCAATCACTTGCTAGCCATCATCTGAAACCTAATATAATACTTACTAGTGCCTAAAATTCTAGGAATATGTTATGATCATTAGGTTCCCCTAGGTTGAATATGAGGACAAATACTACTCTCTAACAGTAGTGATATTTATCGGGAGTCTGTACGAGACAAGATATTCACTCGCCCCTAGGACTTCTTTTAGTGGTTTAATGGTCAGTGCGTTTAACTCATAACTTGAAGGTCCTGAGTAGGTGTCATTCAGGAGTAACAAGCCATAATCATACAAGTGTTGAATAATTTCTGTTTCATCTCACTATCATCTAGCTAGAAAAGAGGTATTTTTCTTATCTTGACGAAGAGTTAATGTGCTATGTGAAATCGCCGATGACCTACTTTATATTTAATTCAATTTTGTTTTTTCTATTCAAGTAATGGTTTGCAACAGTTTGGTTGATTGGTTACAGGATTTCATCATGAGCTGACATTAGTAAGGGGACCATTGGGAAACCAGTTGGGAGTATTGGACAACTGTTTCTTCCTAATTTGAGACTATTAAGCAATACTCAAGCACCGGGTTCGGTTGGTCAGTTGAACCGAAACGTTATACTTCTGTTATTATATCTGTTATTGGCCCAGGCACTTTTACGATGACTGGGGACTAACACATATAGGTGTAAAACTTCGGCACTGAGGTAGTAAGTAATGTCATATTAGTTTGTTTCTTAGATGTATCACACAGTGACACATTACTATTTACTGGATGACAAGGTTTCCAACAAAATTTATTGTGTTTCATAATCATATCAGTTGTAATCACACGACTTCGAAACTTGAGTTTTATAGTCTCCTTTGTTCTCTCCTATTTGTCGTCTTTGGGGTAATAGAATTTTTCAGATCTCCAACGGGACAGGTGTTGAATCATTTCTGTTACACGTGTTTGCAGTTGATTCGATAAACAAAGCTTCCGTTATCAATCTCTCTCCACACTCTGCTGTTACATTAGATTTTAAAAATGTCATCGTATCCCATTCTATTGTGTGGTTGTGTGTGACTGCATAAAGTGCTCTGGCTGAACACTAACATTAAGGAATCAAAATCATCAGTAGTAATCCCTTACAAGGAAGGAACGTCGGAAAATAAGTTTCAGCTGAATTCTTACCAAGGTAAAAATAAAAGTGGCTCGCATTCACACCACCCACAAAATCAATTAGAAACAAGCTTTGTTGGTTAAAGGATCAATCCTGTGAAGCCTTTAAAACCAAAACAATTTAGTTTATCTAATGCCCTGCTTACAATGATTGTCAGGTCAAATACATAGGTCAAACTAGTAGAACAGGAGCAGTCAGACTAGCTGAACATACAAAACTTAGCAAAATCTAGATTGGGTGACCCAAATAAGATAAGAAGTCAAGAGAATAGTTCAGCTATACCACTCACTACATGCAGTTTTACACAACTACACAATAGGATGGGATAAGATGACAGTTTTAAAGTATAATGTAACAACAGAGTGTAGGGAGAGATTGATAACAGAAGCTTTGTTTATCGAATCAACTGCATACACGTGTAACAGAAATGATTCAACACCTGTCCCAGATATATGGAAAATTCTACTACCATTACGACAAATAGAAGAAGACAAAGAAAAGTATAAAACTAAAATTTCAAAGTCGTGTGAATACAGTTGATCTGATTATGAACCACAATAAGTTATGTTCGAAACTGTGTCATCCAGTAAATGATTCTGTTTCACTGTGTGATACATCGAATAAACAAACGAATATGGGAACTAGCACGATGTTATTTTGAGGAAGATGTCTAACAGTGAAATCGAGCATGAATATATCGTCCGACATACAACACAGACCTAAATAAATATTGTAACTTATATTCATTGCACGAGATGAAGATTCTCATGGACAAAGTAGTAGATTGGATAATTCTTTGACGTTTGAAACTATTAGTACGGTTTTCACACCACAGTGAGAACATCGCTAATCACTAGGCACTGCATAAAGGTTCAGTTGACGTGTCACAAACAGGACAAATTGCGCGTCATAAATTCTTCTACGAGTCCACAACCACCAAATAATTTTAAGTTATTTAATCTGTTTCTCGTTTCATTTTTAATCGCGTTAACAGCATTTTTTACTTGTCAAAGACTTTATGTTAACGTGAATAGGTGGGTAATAGTCAGAAACAATTCATTAGATTTCCTCAGATATTTTATGAACCAGTCAACAAATTTTCACTCATGACTAGCTATCAGTTCACTTCGAACTT